TGCTTGCTTGCTTGCTTGCTTGCTTGCTTGCTTGCTTGCTTGCTTGCTTTTTCTTTCTTTTTTTCTTTTTTTCTTTCTTTCTTTCTTTCTTTCCTTTCCTTCCTTCCTTCCTTCCTTCCTTTCTTTCTTTCTTTCTTTGCTTGCTTTCTTTCTTTCTTTCTTTCTCTCTCTCTCTCTCTCTCTCTCTGGTAATTGCTTGCTAAGATTTATTCAGGCGCTAGCTGACTGACCTTGGGTGAACTGCAACTTTTTGCATCTTGGTCCTGAGGTATGACCAGCCCTCTAAAACTAAACAGCATATACAGCACAGCACCTACAAGCCGAGAGACTTCCAGCATATTGACAACACCATGTGCATGAAAAACTATCCTTTTTTCCCCACCTGCCAGGTGAGGGTTGTTAGATTTTATCAGAGCTGTTCTCCTCATCCTCCTTCTCCTCCTCCTCCGCCTCCTCCTCTTGCTCCTCCTCCGGTTTCTCCTCGACCATGTCTGCATCAACTTCCACGTCCACTTCCGCCTTGCCAACTCGTCGCCAATCTCTTCGCCAACTTCCGCGCGCAGTGGGCACTGCCGGACCTCAACTGCCGGCTTCCGATCTGAGTGGGCACGGCTGGACCTCAACCGCCAGGTTCTGAGCGCAGTGGGCACCGCTGGACCTCAACTGCCGGCTTCCGAGCCCAGTGACCTCAACCTGGGACCTTCAGAGCTGTGGGCACCGCTGGACCTCAACTGCTGGCTTCCGAGCCCAGTGGGCACCGCTGGACCTCAACCTGGGACCTTCAGAGCTCAGTGGGCACCGCTGGACCTCAACCTGGGACCTTCCGCGCTCAGTGGGCACCGCTGGACCTCAACGGCCAGATAGAATGCCAGAAGATATGCCAGATAGAATGCCAGAAGATATGTCAGATAAAATGCCAGAAGATATGCCAGAAGATATGCCAGATGGAATGCCAGAAGGTATGCCAGATAGAATGTCAGATAGAATGCCAGAAGGTATGCCAGATAAAGTGCCAGAATGTTTGCCAGATAGAATGCCAGAAGATATGTCAGATAAAATGCCAGAAGATATGCCAGAAGATATGCCAGATGGAATGCCAGAAGGTATGCCAGATAGAATGTCAGATAGAATGCCAGAAGATATGCCAGATAAAGTGCCAGAAGATTTGCCAGATAGAATGCCAGAAGATTTGCCAGAATGTTTGCCAGATAGAACGCCAGAAGATTTGCCAGATAGAATGCCAGATAGAATGTCAGAAGATATGCCAGAAGATATGCCAAATAGAGAGCCAGAAGATATGCCAGAACAAATGTCAGAAGATATGCCAGGTAGAATGCCAGAAGATATGCCAGATAGAATGCCAGAAGATATGCCAGATAAAATGCCAGAAGATATGCCAGACGATATGCCAGATAGAATGCCAGAAGGTATGCCAGATAGAATGTCAGATAGAATGCCAGAAGATATGCCAGATAAAGTGCCAGAATGTTTGCCAGATAGAACGCCAGAAGATTTGCCAGATAGAATGCCAGATAGAATGTCAGAAGGCCAGATAGAACGCCAGAAGATTTGCCAGATAGAATGCCAGATAGAATGTCAGAAGATATGCCAGAAGATATGCCAAATAGAGTGCCAGAAGATATGCCAGAACATATGTCAGAAGATATGCCAGGTAGAATGCCAGAAGATATGCCAAATAGAATGCCAGAAGATATGTCAGATAAAATGCCAGAAGATATGCCAGATGGAATGCCAGAAGGTATGCCAGATAGAATGCCAGAAGGTATGCCAGATAAAGTGCCAGAATGTTTGCCAGATAGAATGCCAGAAGATTTGCCAGATAGAATGCCAGATAGAATGTCAGAAAATATGCCAGAAGATCTGCCAGATAGAGAGCCAGAAGATATGCCAGAACATATTGCAGAAGATATGCCAGGTAGAATGCCAGAAGATATGCCAGATAGAATGCCAGAAGATATGCCAGATAAAATGCCAGAAGATTTGTCAGATAGAATGCCAGAAGATTTGCCAGTACAAATGTCATGTTGGGGATAACTCGAAGTAAAGTAATTTGTTCTGCATTTCTCTCAATGGGCTTGTCTCAAAATAGGGTGCCCCAAATCCTTTGGTTCCCATTAATCCTGCCATGTTTGGAGCATGTTCGGAGCAGCCTGTGGACCCGTTGTGGAGCGCGTGGCTTTTTGCGAAAGAGCTCCCAGATGCTTCGAATGACCATCGCCCCCGACCCGTGCGCGTAATGTTCGAAGGAACACTCCCAAGGAAAATTGTCTTAACAAAGGCTTTGAACAAGGCTCTGGTGACCCAAAACAGGCTCAAGCTCGAAGAAAAACAAGGTTCACAAAATTGTAATGCTAACTGCTAACCTTCCTATTCCCATGGCATTCCAATTGTAGTTTTCCTCCACGTTTCGGCCCTTCAAATTCACCATGCTCTGTTGCTTCATGGTATGTCGTGAAACTCCGTGGCAGACAGCAGCGACGGTTGTGAGATGCCACCGGGAAGGGGAATGATGCCCCGGTGGCCCGGTGGACTGTACTAATTACAAGCGGGGGAAATGATGGGAAATGGCTAGATGCGGCTAGATTGATGGCCTTGTGGCTATAATTTGTCTTTCATGGGAGTTGGAGCAAGGCTGTAAAACAGGGGCATGATAGGGGGATGATCCGGGATGTATGTTTGTGAAAGTGTGACTGAATGTGACTGAGACATTTGTACCATTTGTCATATTTTGTCACAATGGCAACTTTCGCAGGGTTGGAAGTTATTGAGAAAAACAAGATGCACCGGAGGCAACATGCTAATTGCTGAAATTCACGCTCATCTTAATGTATCTTAATCCTTCATGCTCAACTGCATGGGTCCAATGCATTAATCATGTCTGATTGCGGACACAAAAAGGGAAGGTTCATGTGGGCCCAACAACAAAACCTACCATTTGGAAGTGGTTTATAGCATCCATGTTATGCCACATTAGCCGTATGAATTTGGTTTGGGGATGTTACAAAAGTATCAACCAGCCATCTCCGTTATCCAAATATCACTGCGGTTTCACCCAGCTATTTCATCATGTCCAACCTCTGCCAAACGACCGGAGCAAGCCATGGCGAGATGTGGGGGTGTGCACAACCCCGTTGGAACATGGAACATTGGAACATCATGGAACTATGCGGGATGCATATGATACATTGAGTTGCGCATTGAACAAATATTGTTACCTCACTCTGTGGAATTCCTTGGCGTTTTTATAGCACTCGTGAAACAGTATTCTGTCAGTTGAATACGTTGAACCTGGGACATGTCCATGGCTATCTACCGATGGAGTCTGAACCAAGGACAAAAGGTGACCAGGTTGGATCCCTGTGGATGATTATGTCGATGGATTCTGGCACCTTAAATCATGTTGATGATTCATGATGATTCTCCGTGAGGTGGTTCTGAGGTCGCCTCATCTTCTTCAGCATAACAATGTGCATGTATACGTATATATATATAGATTATATAGATACATAATATATATATATATATACAACTATATAGTATTTATAATGATTCTCAATGGTTTTGGTATGTCAGCAGTCCAAACAAATCCTTACCATTCACGTCTTTTCTCACCATGCGCCACTCGTTTGTGGATCGGCTCGGCCTGAAGCGAAGAGAGGGGAGTGCTGTAAGGGGGAACCCTTCTGACATGGGTCACCTTTGATACCCATAGAGGAAACACTGCAAAACATGTATACATATATAGTATATAATAAGATATGCAAATGATAGATATAACTATGAATACTATATATAATATGCATTCATTAGCATTATATAATATTTAATTAATCATTTAATATGTTTTTTAATGATTTTTAATGCGTCGACTAAATATACTGAATATTACTAAATAATGCTTGGTCCGCCTTCATAGGAAGAAAAGGTGACCCTCTTTTCCTGACCCTCGCCACGACAAAGCTGGGGCCACTTTAAGCGCTTGGGTTCAAAGAAATGGCGGAACTGGACCAACCATGGGAACAACAACAGTCGCATGAAACAAAACCACACCAAAATACACAAGACCAAGGATGCTGTGAGCCATATCTTTCAATAGTTTTCAATCAGTGATTGTACAACTGGCTGTTTGATGTTTGGGCGTCCGAGCTGCCACACCAAGAGCCCGGGCTACGCCTAAGGGATGGGATATGGCAGGATACAAGTGTGAAGTTGCCGGCCCTGGTGCATCGCAATCCAATCCGCCATTGCTCTGCTGAAGCGAAAATTGTGAAAAACATGTGGTTTCTTTATGAGACCACAGAAAACTTTGTACATCTTTGCACATCTATGAACAGTGGAAAGGAACCAGGCTGAACCGCTCCCACTTGCAATCACATCTCCACTATGCTCGTAGAATAATCTTGGAGGGCGGATAGGTTTAGTGGAATGTGCCTTGAACTTTTCCATGCAGCCTGTGGGTTTCAAACTGGTTCCTGTTTGAATCTGAGCTGCTACATCTTCTGCTCCAAAGCATATAGCAAATGCTCGAACCTAACAAACCTACCTGTACCTAATCTTTGCCAGAGGAGACCCATCGAACAGAATCAGCAGTATCCAACAAACATATATTTTTTATATGTATTCATCAGGATAACTTAACTGGTGTGTTTTGGTTCCAACATGTTCCAACTCCATCTAAGCGGATTTCTACCACCATGAAATGTAAGCTAAGCGCTGCCCTCAGGCGAAGAAAAGTCTTCGGATCCTGAATTTGCCATGGGACCCAGTGGGACCCAGTGGAGAAAAATATGGAGATCACCAAGTCACGGGCCTCGGAAGTGCTAATTTTTTTAAAGTCACGGCTTGCTGTTCAGAGACTGGAACACAGGTGGAATTCCAAAAAAATCATCTACGATGAGGTGAAAATGCTCTTCTTGAAGCACTGTGAATGACTTGATTTGCCTTTCCTCTGAGGCCTGCTGACCATGGAAAGAAGATGCATGTGCAGAAACCACTGCTACAGCAAATCACACCTATATGGTTCTTATAGATAATCTTATATATATATATCATATAGATAGATGATTAGACAGATAGACAGACAGACAGACAGACAGATAGATAAATAGATAGATTAGGATAGGATAGGATAGGATAGGATAGATAGATGGATGGATCGATATATGATATATAGATAGATAAGATAAGATAAGATTAGATTAGATTAAGATTGGATAAGATTAGATAAGATTGGATAAAATTAGATAGATAGAGAGAAAGAGAAATAGAGAGAGAGATAGATAGATAGATAGATAGATAGATAAATAGACAGACAGATAGATAGATAGATGGATAGATAGATAGATAGATAGATAAATAGATAGATACATAGATCGATAGATAGATAGATAGATAGGTAGGTAGATAGATAGGTAGATACTGTAAATGCATGCTGATCGATACGACGACGAAGAAATAGAAGAAAACCAACCAAGGCAGTAGAACAAGGTCATACAAAGTCTCCTTGATTCCTTTCCTTTTAAAGATTCAATGACCAGCTTCAACCAAACTCAGATGTTCCGCCCATAAATTGGCAGCTGGGGCACGGTGCCATAAGGGTTGCATATACCCCGCGCCAGCAGGCCTTCATGCTCTGCGGCACAATGCCAAATTGCAGTTTCATCTGGGCAAAGGCAGAAAGTAGCGGACGGACCCAACCTATCACTGTGCCCTATGGCCCTATGGCATATTCCATACTGTTCCACCTCTCTTTCTCGGTCTCTCCCTCCCTTGCGTAGCTGATTTGCATTTTGGCCTCTTTAAAATCAGTTGGGAAAATATGGGAATAACATCTGATGTGCTGCTGGATGATCGCTGTGGAACGGGGAAAAAACAGCCAACCCTGGAAGGTTCAGGATTCCCTGGACATTTCCTGGCCATGCCAAGCCAAGCTGCGACCACAGGATAGATCCATTGGGGCATGGCCTTTCCAGCCTCGGGGCTCGAAACACATCGAGTCCATGTGGGATGATGCAAATGAGTCAGTTGGAGATTGTGTTGAGATTCTCCTCCCAGATTTTGGACGAGACCACCAACGTTTCTTCAGAATGGGTAGCAATCTGGGCGCCTGCGGTAGAGGAAACAACGTGCCACGCATCCCCGGAAGAGTAGACCTTGGGAAGAGCGATGCTGAGGCGAAAAGGGATCCCTACTTTGGGGCACACAAAATGTATGTATGTACTTTGTAATGTCAGCGCAAGATTTACTGATACTGGACGTCAGTGTGTGTAAGATATGTATGTGTATGTGTATGTATATATATATAATCCCTTCCTCCTAATACTAAACGTCCCCCTAATACTAAAAACAGGCATCCATCTCCAATTTCCGAAAATTTCAGTTTGGCCAATTTGACTTTTAATTGATCCCCTTTAAACAACAATTCAAAAATCAACCTACCATTTGTGGGTTCTCCCCCCTAATACTAAAAACTAATTCATCCCGGGGTGTTTAGTATTAGGGGGACTAGTCCTACTCCCCAAATCCAAGCTGCCTGGCTGGTCTAGCTGCCTGCATGTTTTGCTGCAAGGAACTGTCTGGCTGCTTGAAAAGCCACCCCTCTGCCTTGCTGTCTGCAAGGTCTTGCTGAGCTGGCTGGAGTCTTGAATTTGGAAGATCCCATAAACACCTATGTTAAGGGTTTCCCTTAATTTTAGGGGGTTAAAAAACAAATTCAAGACTCCAGCCAGCTCAGACAGAAAGGCAGCCAGCCAGGGATGCCTTTCTGTCTGAGCTGGCTGGAATCTTGAATTTATATTTCCCATCAAAACAACAGCAATTATTGGTAATTATTTAAAGGTGACCCATGTAATAAGTTAATTACTTTACTATTATTCAAGATTCCAGCCTGCCTCTCCTGCTGCTCCCTTTTCTGTGCTGTCTGCTGGGAGCTGTCTGGCTGCCTAGCTGCTCAGCTGTCTGAGCAGCAGAGCCAGCACCACGAAAAAGGGACGCCTGCCTGTCTGAGGCGCGTCAGCCACGCCTGTCTGGCCACTGCCCATCTGTCTGTCCGCGTCTGCATCTGCTGGCTGTGTCTGCTGACGTCTGCCCCGAAGCTGTACCAGCTGTCCTGAGAGAAGTCTATATATGTGTATATATATAATTTTATATATATATATACTGTTGGGACAATAAGTAATATAATGAGGAGGTGGATGTAGGAGGAGATATATGTATATAATTCTGACTGTGTAAATATTTAATGATGGCAAGGTAATTAAGGAATTAATGGGGGATGCACATTCTTCGCTGCCTGTCTGATGGACATCATTGCTGCCTAGCTGCTTGGCGGTGCTCCATGCAGCACACCTTTTCCCCACCAAGTGGAGTTCTTGCTGGATGTCCTGCAAGCTGGTGAGAGCTGCCTGCAGGACCTGGGTCTGCTGTTCCTTGGCTGCACAAGTGGCTCAGCCAAAAAAAAGAAAGAACGCTAAAACAGCTACCTGTTGTGCTAATCACTGCCTGATGATTGGAGATCTGACTTGTCTGGCTGTAAATCACTGGCTGAGGATTGCAAAGGTGCGGTGGCTCTTGGATGAATCTCCACCTCATGGATGAACCTGCCTGGAGCTAGCTTGGCAGCACAGAAGCAGCAGTTTGAGAAAGGACTTTAGAAAGGGAAATGGAAGGAGGTGAAGTAGTTTTTAGTATTAAGGTCTGGTGCTTAGTATTAGGGAGAACCTGCCTGGAGCTAGCCTGGCAGCACAGAAGCAGCAGTTTTAGTAAGGACTTTAGAAAGGGAAATGGAAGGAGGTGAAGTAGTTTTTAGTATTAAGGTCTGGTGCTTAGTATTAGGGAGAACCTGCCTGGAGCTAGCCTGGCAGCACAGAAGCAGCAGTTTTAGTAAGGACTTTAGAAAGGGAAATGGAAGGAGGTGAAGTAGTTTTTAGTATTAAGGTCTGGTGCTTAGTATTAGGGAGAACCTGCCTGGAGCTAGGCTGGCAGCACAGAAGCAGCAGTTTTAGTAAGGACTTTAGAAAGGGAAATGGAAGGAGGTGAAGTAGTTTTTAGTATTAAGGTCTGGTGCTTAGTATTAGGGAGAACCTGCCTGGAGCTAGCTTGTAAAGAAGGGAAATGGAAGGAGGTGAAGTAGTTTTAGTATTAAGGTCTGGTGCTTAGTATTAGGGAGAACCTGCCTGGAGCTAGCCTGGCAGCACAGAAGCAGCAGTTTTAGTAAGGACTTTAGAAAGGGAAATGGAAGGAGGTGAGGTAGTTTTTAATATTAAGGTCTGGTGCTTACTATTAGGGAGAACCTGCCTGGAGCTAGCCTGGCAGCACGGAAGCAGCAGTTTTAGAAAGGACTTTAGAAAGGGAAATGGAAGGAGGTGAAGTAGTTTTTAGTATTAAGGTCTGGTGCTTAGTATTAGGGAGAACCTGCCTGGAGCTAGCTTGGCAGCACAGAAGCAGCAGTTTTAGTAAGAACTTTAGAAAGGGAAATGCCAGCTGGTGAAGTAGTTTTTAGTATTAAGGTCTGGTGCTTAGTATTAGGGAGAACCTGCCTGGAGCTAGCCTGGCAGCACAGAAGCAGCAGTTTTAGTAAGGACTTTAGAAAGGGAAATGGAAGGAGGTGAAGTAGTTTTTAGTATTAAGGTCTGGTGCTTAGTATTAGGGAGAACCTGCCTGGAGCTAGCTTGGCAGCACAGAAGCAGCAGTTTTAGTAAGGACTTTAGAAAGGGAAATGGAAGGAGGTGAAGTAGTTTTTAATATTAAGGTCTGGTGCTTAGTATTAGGGAGAACCTGCCTGGAGCTAGCTTGGCAGCACAGAAGCAGCAGTTTTAGTAAGGACTTTAGAAAGGGAAATGCCAGCTGGTGAAGTAGTTTTTAGTATTAAGGTCTGGTGCTTAGTATTAGGGAGAACCTGCCTGGAGCTAGCCTGGCAGAACTTTAGAAAGGGAAATGCCAGCTGGTGAAGTAGTTTTAGTATTAAGGTCTGGTGCTTAGTATTAGGGAGAACCTGCCTGGAGCTAGCCTGGCAGCACAGAAGCAGCAGTTTTAGTAAGGACTTTAGAAAGGGAAATGGAAGGAGGTGAAGTAGTTTTTAGTATTAAGGTCTGGTGCTTACTATTAGGGAGAACCTGCCTGGAGCTAGCTTGGCAGCACAGAAGCAGCAGTTTTAGTAAAGGACTTTAGAAAGGGAAATGGAAGGAGGTGAAGTAGTTTTTAGTATTAAGGTCTGGTGCTTACTATTAGGGAGAACCTGCCTGGAGCTAGCTTGGCAGCACAGAAGCAGCAGTTTTAGTAAGGACTTTAGAAAGGGAAATGCCAGCTGGTGAAGTAGTTTTTAGTATTAAGGTCTGGTGCTTACTATTAGGGAGAACCTGCCTGGAGCTAGCTTGGCAGCACAGAAGCAGCAGTTTTAGTAAGAACTTTAGAAAGGGAAATGGAAGGAGGTGAAGTAGTTTTTAGTATTAAGGTCTGGTGCTTACTATTAGGGAGAACCTGCCTGGAGCTAGCTTGGCAGCACAGAAGCAGCAGTTTTAGTAAGGACTTTAGAAAGGGAAATGGAAGGAGGTGAAGTAGTTTTTAGTATTAAGGTTTGGTGCTTACTATTAGGGAGAACCTGCCTGGAGCTAGCTTGGCAGCACAGAAGCAGCAGTTTGAGAAAGGACTTTAGAAAGGGAAATGGAAGGAGGTGAAGTAGTTTTTAGTATTAAGGTCTGGTGCTTACTATTAGGGAGAACCTGCCTGGAGCTAGCTTGGCAGCACAGAAGCAGCAGTTTTAGTAAGGACTTTAGAAAGGGAAATGGAAGGAGGGAAATGAAATGCACAACACATTCCAAAAAAGCACCTCTCTCCAATTCAACTGCCTCTGTCAACTGCAACTCTCTTTGCTGCCAAGTTGCTGTCTGGACAGCCAGCTGCACCAAGGCTGCCTGGACCTCGGCTGCCTGGCCCGCTGCTGCCTGCTCCCCCTGAACTGGCTGGCCGTTTGCGTTCATGGCTTCTGAGGCTGTCTTACTGACTTGCGTCTGTTGGCGCTGGCTGCCTGTCTCTGTGCTTGAACCAACAAGCCATGGAAGCTGACTGTCTGTGCACCTGACCCACTGGATGCTGGATAAATACTTACACATTCTAAATAGTTACTAATTACATATAATTACACATATAGTTATTTGATTACATATATAAAAATTATGGATTCTATTATCTGCCAAATAAATCTTATTGCCAGCATAATTATGAAAACCCTCATGATTACTAATTACATATACACATATAATTGATTGTACATCTATTTACTTATTTGTAGCCATCATGAAGCCCTCATGAATAATTATTACATATACACGAATGAAGTGATTATATATATACTTTTATATACATATGCATCTAATTAATTAATTAGAATTATTTAGAAATCTTTATAAAATGAATAATCCCTTCCTCCATTCTAATGCATTAATAACTAATTAACATGACTTCGATTTGGTTCCCTAATAATAAATACCCCCCTAATACTAAAAACTACCTGCCGTGTTTTGTATTAGGGGGGGGGGTTTAGTATTAGGAGGAAGGGATTACACTATATATATATATATATATAAGTGTTTGTGTGTGCATTGCAGGACACCCCAAACATATGTATACCAAAATGGGATGTGGTGAAGTAGTTTCTACCCACCCCCATTTACCTCCAACCACCTTGATACCATTGCGACCAAGTTACTTCACCAGAATGGCACGCCTGTGGCTAAACTCGTCAAAACCAAATTTGCCATGATAAGCACCTCAGATTATATGTGGGAAACAAGGTTGAATCAAAGAAAGCAACAGACTCGGCTTCAAGGAACCTGTCAATGGAAATTCCCACACTTGGATCGTGCCAGTGTGGTTTCCTTTCTCTATCCAGTGTACTGCAGTTTCCTTTAGATCGTTGTTTTCTTTCAATTTGGCCAACATTGGCTGTGTTGGGGATATGACCAACAATGATGGGCATGAAACCAAGCTGCGATTATAAGACAGTAAGACATATGGTGACAAATTTCCCGATAGATAATTCGGTGCGCAAAAAATCATTGAACAATGCAGCATCCTACAGATTCCATAGTACCGAGATGTGAGATTGCTCCAGGATGCTCGAGGTATGTCAATTTTCCGGGACATCTCTCCATAATTCCTGCTGAGGCACCCATTCCAGACGCACCTTGTCCACCTACGGGTGGAGCATGTCACAAAGGACTCTGCATCCGATAGGCGACATGTGAAACCGGGGCCCGGGCCGAAGGGCAGCGTCTCAGGTAGAAGGTGCTCGAAGACTGTGTTGATGCCTAAGCCATAAACAAACAAAGCGAAATGTACAGTGCAAAATGTGTTGGGAGCGACCTCTGTACCTATAGACAAGCAAAACATATGTGCCTTGCAGATCCTTGTAGCAGCACATAGCACAGGATGGATGTGATTTGTAGTATTGCCATGTGCCATGAATGGCCTTGTGTGGACCAAAATGAACATCTGATGAAACCGCTGCAAGAACACACAGACAAGCTGCAAACGCCGCCGCTCTGGACATGGCTTAGGGCCTTCTCGATGTTTCCTCCACGCAACTCCGTGAGATTCTCCACATGTTTTCGTGGTGCAGCGTGGGCGTCATAGACTTGAACATGACTAGTACCAGTATGTCGATTATGTCGCATAGATCTAGCACGGAGACAAAGTCTACAGGATCAACAAAAACCTGGATATTGCAGCTACATTCCCATTCCGCACAGCCGCACACCATTCTTTGTCACAAGATTATGTACCTAGACAGGCCTAGACATGGCGAGCTGCAGCTCCGCAGACAGAGGTGATGCGAGAAACAACTTGAACATCGGGGTGACCAACCTGTTGTTTTAGTTTTAGTTTTTGTTGTATGCACGTGCGGCATTTGTATACATTGTATTACATCATGTGTTAGGTTTTTTCCTCAACATTAAAGTGGGGTAATTACCCAAGAACAATGTTCTTCCCTGACAAGGATGATAACATTTGGATGATTTTGGCATTTCAACATTGTAGGAAACATTAATCATTAGGAAACTCTCATGGACTTTTTCGCCCAAGCCTGACATCAACCTATGGCTGGCCCCGAAAAAAGTGCGGGCTGTGCTCCTGAATCCTGAGAGAAGACGTAGAATGCCTCAGGTCATCCCCCCTGCACCAAGGTGAGGATCTGACAAGCCTCCAGATTAATGCTAATGGTATAGGTACCCATAGGTATGCCATATCAACATATGTATAATTTATGTATATATATATAAATCTATTTCAATACAATTATATTAATTATCTGCCCGTTGATACTACAGTAATAAGACGTAATATGGGACTTGGGGGGTACAATCTGCAACTGGAATGATCATCGTGGGAACACCTAATTGATAATCTTGAGGTGACAAATGACGAAAAAGAAGGCCGACAACATGCGAACTGGCAGGGGGCTGTGACAATATGTGACAATGATATATGTATATATGTTCGCACGTAAATAATTAGGTATATAATACACACATATATATATAATGTAATATATATATATATTATTAATAATGTCAACCCCGGATTAATAAACCCGGGTTTATTAATTAGGGTGGTACTCCTCCAATAGTCATAATCTGATACTTAAATGGTACCCTCCCAATTAAACGATCTAGGGGTTTATTAATCCAGGGTTGACATTATATGATATTATATGCAGCACGCACATGTAAATGCCACGATGTTCATTTTTTTTAAATATGTTCATTTCACATCATGTATGTCCTCCGGCAATAATCAAACCGACAATAGGAAAACGACCCAGGATTTGCAATTTCGATGTTAAATCGCCATCTGGATTCTGGATAAACACATCATAAGCATACAAAAACTCCCGACATTCGGTTAAGATCTCACTATTTTTATATATGTTTATCCCCATATTAGCCCCATTAGATCAAACATCTTTATCCCCATTGATCCCAGGATATCCCATTGGCGCCAAGACACCAGCGGGGTGTCCTTGGAGCGAATGATTTTCAAGGCAGTCCTGGACAGTGCTGGGACCTGGGAAATCCTCAATGAATAATATGGGATTTCCTGTTGCCAGATTAGATTGCCAAAGGTTTTTTTTTTCCCCGTTTTGAGACAGGCTATAGTGTTGATGCCTGTCTCATATTGATTTTTGTTGTTGGCGACTTGCCAGATTTACCAGCTAAAACGCAAAACAAGGCAATTTAACAAGTCCCTCTATTTTCGTCTGCAAATATGGAATGATCCAGCCGTGTATCATGGCAATCCTCACCCAACTATTGCAACCAAGCGGCTCCAGGTCTTCATACCTTGGAATTCCAATGGAATCCCGAGGAAGCGACAAGAGGAAAGTAGCACACGAGAAGGCTTTTGCCTATGCCATAAGGCACTGAGAGTCAGAAAGCTCCAAGATTCAAGATGGATCAAAATGGCTAACTTCGGAGCACAAGCCCTTCACCCTCCTAACTTCTATATAGCTGTGTAGTGGCATCCCCATGCTCTGTGCCGTGACCCTGGGTAATCCCCATGACCCCCTATGATCATCCAGGCTGCGGCATGACTGGCAGAATGGGTCCGAAAATCTCCTCCTGGCAACAGCTTCCAAAACCTGGGCCCTTGACTTCCACACTACGCCCAGAACTGCTGTACTCAATCCATCATGCTTTTCGGCTTCCCAAAGGGCCATAGGGCCTAACCCATCATATCCATCATGCGGTGTCAACGGCTTGACTAAGAAACAAGTAGCAGGCCTGCATAATGGGTGCATCCATCTTGGGCTTGTGTATGATGGTCGGAGGCACGAAACGCTCCTCTCTCTCGATGCCCTGGGCAGGAACCAACCAGCTTCCAAGGAATTCATCATGATATTAGTAGGCCCATCTCCAACTGGGTGACCCTTGATGCTCCATACTTTCCACTGTCAGCTGAGATGCCTCTGCTCCGCCGCACAGGATGCTTCCACCGGACTGAGGGGACAGGGGATTGGCCGCCAGGGGCTAGCAAGCCATGGGGTTGACTCAACAAAAATGTGGGGTTAACCGGGGTTAACCATGGTTAACCCAACAAAAGTGAGAGGCCCAAAATAAAGCGCATCAACGATGTCAACTCAGGTGTTTAAAAATTGATCAAAGCATATATCAAAGCAAATAATCAATCAACGCCTGCACAAGAAACAAGAAAGGAACATGGAAAAATACTTGATCAGACTTGGTCTTTCCAAGACATGTCAGGACATCATGCACAGGTGGATGGTGAGCAACTCTGCTACCAAGTAACTGTTTGAATGAGATTTTCCAGTCGATCCACATGCTTCTCGTTCACAATCATACCAAAGTCATCAACTGCGAAGCAGGGCTGGGAGTGATTGCAAAGTAAACCTACAGCTTGATCTGATGACTGCCATACCTGCACCCTCAAAAGATCTAAAAGACACAAATAAATATAAATGCATGCTCACTTGAGAGATGTGTGCTTTCGAGCATTTTCTCCAAATGAAAGTAATTGCGCCACTTTCGACCTGTTTCCACTTTGCGTGCTTTGAAGCGAAAGAACTGAGCGTACTTTCCCCGGAAATGAGGGAAAATACCTGGGAACAAAAGTAAATACTTGCCTGGGAGGACAAACACGCACCTTTGTAATTCAAGGGAGCATCAAGAGTCACAAGGAGCGAAAATCCAACCAAAAATGCGTTGAGCAGAAAAAAGTGTTGAAGATCAGGTATATGCAGGAATGCAGTGAGATTGGTCCAACATGACCCCAGGTCAGAAATTTGTACCACAAAGTGCCAGCCAGTCTGCACAAGTCTGAAGGTCTCTTGGTCCTACATTTCAACCCACAGTCACATCATTTCCGTACATACCTTGTGGGTATTTCATGCATGTTCATCATGCTTTGAAATTCCCACGCTGAGAATCTTTTGGTCCTTCAATCATTCCTAACTGGCAAACATCACTCTCGGACCTCGTCCTTTGCCATCCTCACCAGTGCTGGAAATCACAACTGCTTTCCTCGGCGCATGGCATGGAGACCCCTCAAATTCAGTGCAGTTTGCTGATCAACTTTGATTTTTGCAGCAAAAAGATAGCCCCAATGTGGCATGCTAATCAATCGCATCAATCTTTCTGCATGTACCCTCTGGTAATTTAACATAGCTATTGAAAATTGCCATTTATAGTGAGTTTTCCCATTAAAAATGGTGATTTTCCATAGTTATGTTAGTTTACCAGAAGGTATTTCCTCCATTGGCACACCCGCCTAACAATCTGATAACCTCCTGCATCTTCCTGCCCAAGATGTGAGGGATTCCCCAGCTGGCCCCCAGCAAAGGTCAAAGAGAAGCACAAAACCAAACACATCCTATAAGCATCATCCACGCACACAATTTATATATATATATATATAATATACATAATTATTTAAATATAATTATATGTATATATGTAAATGTATCTAAACATATATATGTATATTAATTATATAACATTATGATACATTATGCACAAAAACGTACAAAATAAATACAATCCCATGATTTCTCCATCCCTCATCCCAATTCCCATCCCAAGGCGTCGCTTAAGTTTCAGCTGATCCAGGAAGTCTTTCTCAACACTCTGGTGCACGAAGACATAATCCTCAGAAACAAAGTCAAGGAGTCGGCTGTGAGCCATCCTTCCTGGAAATAAAATCAGTCACCTGGGCTCCCAAAATATGCCATGATATCCCAAAGATGTTGGGGGATTTCTAAAAATCGCTCAAGGGTTACGATATATTACGATGAGGACACCACTGCATCACTGTCTGCCACGCATCTGGTGCGACACAGATCTGGCCACTCAGGGACCATTTCATCAAAGCGATGCGTTTCACGGCCACGTCAATCTGACAGGGCAACCCAGGTGACCAAATTGATACGGAAAACACACGATAGGATCATCAAATATCATCAGCACATCTGGAACTGTCTATTGCCAGAGTTAACAAATGGCAGTTGCTATCAAACGAATTCGCAAACCTGAAGTGCCAAAAAGTGGGAACCCACACCAATTGCTCCCCAGAAATGGTGGATTTCTTACAGCTAGTGACACGGGGTCCCCAAAGCAATTAAACAGTTTTTTTCCAAGATGTTACACACACACATACAGTATATATATATGTATATATAATATATATATATAGTATATCGTTTTAAAATCATGTTTGATCAATAGTTCGCCAGAATTTTCAGCTTGTCAGAGTCTCTTTCCAGTTCTCTTAGTATCTATCATTATCTATCGATTCACCATGGTTGCAGCAGCAGCAGCAGCAAACCTTCGCAGTTTCATCCACAATGACTGGGCTCTTTCCGCCAAGCCTCAGGCAGCTCTGCTTGTCGACTCTGATCACTAAAAAACCAACTGGTGGTCCACATCTGCACGCATAGAGACATGTACAATATGGTAGATGTACATATCATATATTGCAGATACACACACAATCACACACACATATATATATATATACATATATATATATATTTATGTGTGTGTGAGTATTATATATATATATACGTATTGTGTGTGTGTGTGCATGCATACTTTAGATAAACACATGTATATTATATGCACGCGTGCTTTTGCGTAAATGATGTACACCCAACCTCATGACCAAGTCTCTCGCTCTTTCTCTCTCAATTTGTTCATCGACATCTCAATGACCAGCTGCTAAACAGCTTTAACCACCCCCGTGGCCCCCGTCTGGCAATCTAATCTGAAAGTTTTGGACACTTCCCAATCTGTACAAGTTATCTACCCATTAAGGCATGTATCAAACCCCAATATGGTTTATGGTTGAAAACACTGGCACCCTTCTGTTCACACCAAAAAAAAGAAGCTGGTTTCTTTGGATGTTCATTTTCGCCAAACTCCAAAGATGGAAAAGACACCAACCCCCATTCATGTCCCATTCAACCACCATTCTTGATGGTTAAATAGTTGAATCCCCGACATATTAAACATTATGAAACCCCCATTTAGCCCATTATATCCCATTATATAAATAGTTCAATAGCTCAACCCCCATTGCATCTTTGGGGGATTACGGCAAGCAACTCCAAGGTCACGGTCGTCAAGTGCTTCGCCGCTGCTGCCATCACAATACGCCCCACTTGGCCGTTCCCTGCGGCGGTGAAGTCACTACTACTTTGGATAGACCATCAAAATTCTCATATACAGATATGGAAAGTCATTGATTATATGTTACCATGGTAAACTTTAAACTATGGTAAACATCCGAAAGACATATGAATATTCAAGTATCTCAGTAACTCGATCTATATATGTGTATATAAGTGTGTGTGTGTGTGCGTGTTTAAAAGATGTCTGAGATTGTCACTGCCCGGAAAAGGTTCAAAATATCTATCTGTGCATCTCAGCTACACCGCAATCAAACGTGGCAATGGACAAATCCGTTAAAGATTATAGATGGTTTTACCATTAAAACCTTCCTTGAAACTCGCCGGAATCATCAATAGTTGAACGCTCCCGAGATACAGTTGACAAGGCCACCGCTGGGCCACCACCACAGCCATACCCGCCATCTTCTAGTCGCACTGAGCCAAGAAACCCGTGTAAAAGATGTGGTCCCAGCGGTTGTTCAAGAGGGCAGTTGTCTCTTCGACAGCACCCTGAACCACCCTGCAACATGGCAAGCGCACAGAATTCAGAGATATGGGACCTGTGACATAAAAGAAGCAAGAAGCAAGTTTTGAAGCAGAAACTCATGACCGTACGCCACAGTACTTGGGTTGGCTTTCAACCAGCCTGCATCTCGTGCCAAATGGATAGGTATGATGGTGGAATCTGACTGTAAAAAAGAAACTGATCAGAAATGGCGCCTGAAGCACTCAGGGTCCATGTACTTGTGCACTAACTTTTCCATGAGTGGCGCGGTACGAGGGTTCAATTCGCTGGGTTTCAGCACCTCATGGGTCGAGTACAATGAGTGAATATGATGTCGCCACAAAAGGCAAAAAGTCCTTCCAAGCAATCCCAAATAATGTCTGGTTGGTGGTTTCAACCCCTCTGAAAAATATTAGTCAGTTGAGATTAGTATTCCCAATATATGGAAAAATAAAAAATGTTCCAAACCACCAACCAGATGTACATGTTCGTAAGCAAACATGGCTTGCTGGAAAAATCCTCATGTAATGATGATGTTGCCAATTTCAAGACCCGTTTAGCTCGAGATTTTCCCGTTGACAGCCATCTCTGAGTATAGTTGGTTCGTTAAATATCCCTATGATCCCATTATTTCACCATTAAATATATATATATATGTAATATGTATATGATATATCACTATATTGCCATTAGCTTCCTGCGCCCCACCGTATTTCATCTGCCCGGGTCACTACAGCATTCCCTGCAGCAATGGCTGCAGTGAGTGGTCGCATGGTGAGTTGCCACGGCACATTCCTTGGCCAACATGGGGTATAAAACCATAAGTTAAAGGGGATATAGTGAGATATGCCATCTAGTTATTGAGCGTAGTGAACAGTAAAAACACCAGTTTCAACAGGAAAATCATCACCTTAATCAGATTTGAAAAAAAGGGGGCAATAGTTGAAATGGTTCCATTCGCACTCACACACACATTGACATATATATATATATATGCATACACTGTAATTATATATATATACGAACACACGCATACATACATACATATATATATATATCCATCGGTTTGTCTGATAATAGGGTGCCCCAAAATCCAATGGATGAGCATCAAGTTCATAATCCCTTCCTCCTAATACTAAACGTCCCCCTAATACTAAAAACAGGCATCCATCTCCAATTTCCGAAAATTTCAGTTTGGCCAATTTGACTTTTAATTGATCCCCTTTAAAAAACAATTTAAAAATCAACCTACCATTTGTGGGTTCTCCCCCCTAATACTAAAAACTAGTTCACCCCGGGGTGTTTAGTATTAGGGGGGCCTAGTCCCAATCCCTCACTCCAAGCTGCCTGGCTACTCTAGCAATTACGGGTAAGCTTCGAACTGGCATTTTTGGCAATATTTTAATTGCGTTATATAAGGAAATTTAATTGATTTTGAGATCGGAAAAAATAGTTTTTATTATTAAGGGTTTTCATTTAGTATTAGGGGTAAGCTTCGAACTGGCATTTTTGGCAATATTTTAATTGCGTTATATAAGGAAATTTAATTGATTTTGAGATCGGAAAAAATAGTTTTTATTATTAAGGGTTTTCATTTAGTATTAGGGGTAAGCTTCGAACTGGCATTTTTGGCAATATTTTAATTGCGTTATATAAGGAAAATTAATTGATTTTGAGATCGGAAAAATAGTTTTTATATTAAGGGTTTTAATTTAGTATTAGGGGTAAGCTTCGAACTGCCATTTTTGGCAATATTTGGTTCCCTAATAATAAATACCCCCCTAATACTAAAAACTACCTGCCGTGTTTTGTATTAGGGGGGGGGTTTAGTATTAGGAGAAAGGGATTATTTCCCCACCTGCCAGGTGAGGGTTGCTAGATTTTATGTCAGTTGCCTCCTCCTGACTCCTGACTCCTGCCTCGTCCTCCTCCTCCTCCTCTCCTCCTCTCCTCCTCGTCCTCCTCGTCCTCCTTGTCATCCTTGTCGTCCTTGTCGTCCTCGTCGTCCTCGTCGTCCTCGTCGTCCTCGTCCAACTGCGACCCGCGATCCACAGTGTTCTCTGCCGGACCTCAACCAGGACCATCCACGCCCAGTGTTCCCTGCCGGACCTCAACCACGACCATCCACGCCCAGTGTTCCCTGCCGGACCTCAACCACGACCATCCACGCCCAGTGTTCCCTGCCGGACCTCAACCACGACCCCGCCCAGTGTTCCCTGCCGGACCTCAACCACGACCATCCACGCCCAGTGTTCCCTGCCGGACCTCAACCGCGAGTATCCACGCCAAGTGTTCCCTGCCGGACCTCATATAGGAAGATAAAATGTCAGATAGAGTGCCAGAAGATTTGCCAGGTAGAATGCCAGAAAATATGCCAGAAGATATGCCAGATAGATATGCCACAAGATATTCCAGAAGATATGCCAGATAGAATGCCAGATAGAATGCCAGAAGATATGTCAGAATATATGCCAGAAGATATGCCAGATAGAATGCCAGATAGAATGCCAGAAGATATGTCAGATAGAATGCCAGAAGATATGCCAGATAGAATGCCAGAAGATTTGCCAGATAGAATGCCAGAAGATATGCCAGATAGAATGCCAAATAGAATGTCAGAAGATATGTCAGATAGAATGCCAGAAGATGTGCCAGTAAGAACATGTATAAATGTCATGGTGGGGATCACACGAAGTAAAGTAATTTTTTATGACTGTAGCTGGGCGCCAAGTATGTACACCCCAATCAGTTGACATTTATTGGATTGGCTTACAAGGGAACACATGGGTAAAACATGGTAAAACCATGGTTTTTCCCATCAACCAGTGGTTTTCCTATGTTTTCCTCAAAATGTTTGCTTGATACAACTCTTGGAGATGTTGGTTCATCATAACAATTGGGTTGTGGTTCAACTATGAATGGTGAATGTTTAAGAACCTCGATCCTAATTTAGTATTTACCCTCTGGTTATGACTAACAGTTTGCCATGGTATAGATGGCCCATAGAAATAGATGGTTTACCTATTAAAAATGGTGATTTTCCATGGCTATGTTAAATAACCAGAGGGTACTAATTGAATCTAACCTTTGGTAATCTAGGGTGATTTCAATGGGAGTGCTTTCCAAAAATGTAGTAGTAGCCCAACGTAGACTAAACCCACAATGTTAACGCAGGAGAACCAACACATGGTTGGTGACATCAGCCCCTGGAAAACATCAGTTCAACTCATTGGGGGGTTCTCACCAATAGTCTTGCAGAGGTAATGCATTCGCCTCTCCAACATGGGACATGTACCAACCCTTGGTCATGCTTACCCTGTGAAAATCCAAGCTGAAAAAACATGTTAAATTGTGTGTGCTCATAGGATTGAAGATCAACTACAAGTGGAAGGATTATCCATTGCCGGCCAAGATCACAAAAGGGAATACAAGTAGAAAAAATTATCGAAAGTAACCTTGTCATGGGTGGAGTGCGTGGGTGATATTCACTTACAGTATATTATTCAAATATTATGGCCACCCCAAATGTCGAGATATATTTTTAACCATACCAAGTAAGAACAGTAATTACATACTGACTATAAACCCAGGCCACAGGGTTGAGTTGCAGATGGTGGCAACATATAAAGGTTATATCGAGCAAGATGGCGCAGGCGCAGGGATCTAGTCAACAAGCACTCAACATCACTCAACAAAAAAAATAGTAAGGAAGCAATGTGACCATGTAGCAACGGCAAGGATCTGAAAAGGTCTTTCTTTTTGTTCTATTGCCAAATCATGTTGCTCTAGACTTGGGTCTGTCCGATTCCCCAGGATCAGCAACAGGAAGCCTCCTATTTTTCCAGCATCTCAGCCCAAGTTACCATGGCGCAATGATCAATACAACACCTTAGCGGACTCGGCATCGGATCAGCCTGGATCTATTGTGCATCATGCGGCTTTGTCTGCCTAGCATGCCCTTGGGTAAATTTAAGGGTTCATTGGTTTATCACCATGTTTCGTTTTTCCCATTCAAATGGCAATTTGGTGTCTACATCATTTTTCAATTGAAACCATATGGCCAAGTCACAACTAGCTGCAGCAAGGTTTGTTCAACCCAACTTACAACTGTCAATCACTTCCTTGAACCTGAATAGTTGAGTTTGTCTGAAAACAGGGTACCCCATGATGACATGGCCCCCCAATTTCAATTAGATAATGTAGACATATTTGTCCAATTTAAACTGACCCAATTTGTGGCAGTAAATTCCTATATAATTGTTGGACAACACGAAATCATGTCCCACTATACACGCCTGTTATGCTGATAACATATCCTCGCAAATCGCTTGGTTTTGTTTGGTGCCCCATTTTAGGAAACCCCATTTGCTGAACCTCGTTCAGTTAGACAAGAGGCCCTTGGGCTCTGGACGCACATATTGCCTGCAGCGGATCCAGCGTTCAAGCTGACAAAGTTGGTGCTTTGATGACGGTAACGGAATTGTTGCTTATGAACCAATTTCAATGTGGTGTTTATATGTTCTCTTTTTTAATATCAATGGCCCATTGATTACTGAACCCTGCAGTAAACAAATAGAACTGTGGAAATTGATGGCTTTCCGTTGGAAATGATCTAGGCAATAGGATTTGCCTCTATCTTAGTTCACTGGCAGGTATGAACCAACTTACAATGCTTTCGGGCTAGGAAAATAACATAGTTTCAGATGGTTTCAGATCATCTATGACCAGCAGCCCCAGCACCGGCCGCTGCCCCGGCCTGTCGAAAAGTCCGCCCACCCATCGATCTCCTCGATTGATACCATGGAAATCCAAGATTTATCTGAGAATAGAATGGGTATAAGGGGAATTAATGGGTATATAATGGGTATATACGGAGAGATGATGATGTTTATTACTACTATGATTCATTTTACTCTAGTTGTTATTGTCAGACAAATGATGGAACATATCATATATTGATTGATTTGCTACATAGCCAGGGGATATTTCAAGTAATTAGGGTCTACGTTTGTTTTCGTTAGAGTAGTTCAAGGCAAACGGAGTAGTTACAGTATATCAAAACAAATGGGTTTCTTATCAATCTTTCTGGCAAAAGTAGGGATGGATGCTAATTACATGCATTTCATGATACATTAGCCCTTCAAGTCCCTGAAATTCCGTGAAACTTCAGCACATCCGACCTGTGGCTAGGCCACGCGTCCAGCCAAGCTGCTTGACCACTCATCAATGTTGGTCAAGCAATCATCAGCACCTACTGTACCAGCCGCACCAGCCGCAGGTTCAGTCAGATGGGATGAATGAGATGAATAACACGCATTCCGCGTTCCCTATGAAACAAGTAAAAACAAACAGGTAACCCCAAAATTGCAGCAAAACAAGGAGTTTCTCTTGGCACTGTTGGGATCTTTCAGGTCCATGTCAACCTGTGATCCATAGCTGAGACTTGCACTGGTGACCGGTGCAATCTCTCCCATTGCCCGCATCTTGGTGCCACCCATGTCTGCATTGATGGTTGCGCCAATCTCTTCCTTAGTTGACCATATCTGGAAGGGAGGGGACCTTCGGAAGAATCGAAAGACCCTCCAGTAATCAAACATGCTTGGCTGGAAATGCCAAGATTTACTATATTTACTGTACATATAGTTCCCAATTGTCCCAATTACATCCATTTACAACAAGTGATTTTAAACGGCCCTTTTAGTTCGCGAATTTCCTGCTAGCCATGTTTCATTCCTCGGGATATCCATCAATGCACCCTGCTGACTCGGCTGGAAACGCAGCTAAGCAGCGTGGTTCTCTTGGTACATCTTGATCAACCTGGGCTGGAAAATCAGGGATGCAAATTTCAATCATGATAATTATGTAATTATGGAACATGATGTTCCAAGGAGTTGGGATGACTCACAAATCGGCCCCCAATACTATTGGTGTCAGGACCTGATATGTATGTCATGGGGTCGACAACATATCAAACATCACATAGTGACGATTGATCAAAACTTTCAGGCGACACTATGACGGGAGCGATCTCGCAGATTCATCCCGCACCTGACGTGTACCAAATGCATCTGGAATACTGAGTAACAATAATTTCATCTAGAACATCATATTTTGGGATATTGATTTGTATCCATTAATGATGACATTCCATTGTTTCGGGGTAAATCACCCTGAGGCACATGATGCACGAGGAAAGTCCAATGGAACGACTTGAAGACTTGATCACTTCCCAGCCACTGTCGGAGCTGCTGTTTTCGCCACCAAAGGTTCCTGTTGAAGACGCATGGAAAAGTGGCAATTCTTAGGTAATTGAATTATATTATTTATTACTATTCATTAATGTTCATTTAATTCTGCTTTCGTTGAATGGCAGTGTTCCGTAGTGTTAGTAGACATCACCGCTTGCATTGAATTATGACAGCAAATTAAAGTGTCAAACATATCAAATTACACGTCCAATCGCTGAAACAAGGCCAAGTGTTCAACACATAAGTTTTTCCCTGGCCCAGTTTCCTGGTTTTCCCTGTGTCAAAGGTTTTCCGCATCTTGTCAATCATCTGGCCATACTCCGCTGTCAGCTCCTGAGCGCTGCGCTATTTTCCCAGTAGGCTGTAATGACGAGGTCGGGGGGACTTGGCCTTAACAAAAGAAAATGTACGATCTGTGGGTCACCCCAGCTACTTACATCTACTTACCCATGCTTGTATATAGTTGAGATGTACTAACACACTTACTAGTAACATCTAGTAACTATAGTACTTACGAACTCCCTAACTGTTACCAAACTCACGGCAGGGTCCATATTAGTTGGGATTGTAGATGATTGTAGCTACACCAGCGCTGAGACAAGCATCATCTACGGACATGGTAGGTGCCATGGCCCTACAACATAAAACCAGCGGTGAATCGATGGAGCAAAACGGCTGCAAACCATCATGGAAATATGATTGAAATATGAACAACAAATGCGGGTTATGATGGGTATGCCTATGTAGAAAACACAAAATTCACATGATATTGCAGAATAATCGTGCATCATGTATCATCATGACATGTATATGCATTAACTGAATGGCCTTCATGGGGTTCCTTATCCTAGACGTGGCACAGGACATGTTTCCCCATGTCGAAACGGTGATGTGTTGCATTGTTTGGTGACAATCCATGGCTTTATCATCAAGCAGTTGAAGCATGTTCATTGTGTAATGCAGAAACTTTCACATAGCCTTGCTATATCACAAAACATTCATGCACGCATATCAAAATAGATAATATATACATATATATATATATATAAACATGAATATATTACAGTATAGTGGTATAATATATATATATACATATGTCCGCGCATGATCCCTAGTATATTACATCTGTACGCATGGTTTATGCACCACCAGGTGTAGCTGTGAGTGCCTCACTTCCCGGGCTGCAACTGGCCCGAATCAGCGCGTTGGCTGCGCATGCTGCGCATGCTGCGCATCCGGGTGAGGCCTTCGGACCTGTGGGATCCATATTGCCGAAAAGAGGGATCCAACCATAGGAATGGTAGGAATGCAATGGGGATGCTGATCTATCACCAAACTAGGAATGTTTGCCAACCAAAACGGGAAGAATGACGAGAAGAATGGGAGTGGCACATAGTGGCACCAAAAACATGTGGGTATCCATGGAATTGGGACATCCATTGTTGAGGCTGATGGATGTGACCCACTCCTGGGACTTCTGGGGTTGCTGGGGCTCGACCCACTGATTTGAGGGCCTGTTTTAGTAGCAAACATCAAACTATGGTCTAAGCTGTTGAATGGGTAAGTTGTGAAGGGGGTTGCCAACCTCATGGGTAAAATGATAAAATGATAAAATGAAAATTCTTTGACTACCTGACTACCATTGACTACCTATGTATCTATATTGAGTCTATATGTCTTCCATTCCACAGCCCAGGTTGCCCCATGCTGACCCTGCCCACCCCATGGCCCACCCCATGGCCTCGGAGTCTGCAGCAATACTTCCCCGCTGGGCCGTGCCTTCAGCCACTTACGGAGCTTGTCAGTTGAGCCGTCGGTCCTGCGTTGCGGGACACTGGTGACCCTGGTGGCTGGTTTCAAGCCCCAAAAAATGGACGGTATACCACCCAGCCACCTAGTTATGGTCATGTTTTATAGAGATCAAATGACCATTAACCAATGGATTTTTAGGGATACCCTAAAGCTCAACAGGTTGTGCGTTCAAGTCGCTTGGCTTCCAGGGAGATCTCAAACATCTCATCCCAGTTTTTTCCTGTCACAATGAAGCTTTTGCCTCAGGGGATTTTCTGGATGCCAGCTGGAGAAACGTCTTGGAGGAAACCACGAGCTACCCACTGCATTTTGAGAAAGCGTACAACATCCCTCGAATACGTCTAGTAACTAGCACATAATATACACGTGTCCTATATGTGTATATAAACTCTCTCTATATTTATATGATATAAGTTTGAGGGGAGAGAGATGAAGGTGAGCAATTTTCAGTACATGGTCCCCCCTCTTACAGCAGAATGCAACCATCGCTTTGCTCGTATATAGGGGTAGCATGGTGTGGTGATGCTTGTTCTTCCAGGCAGTGTAGCATTTCATTTCGAAGATTTCTGAGATACATCATGCCTAGTGTACCAGACTTGAGGTTTGTTTTTGTTGGGCTGTGTAATTTTCTAACTAACTCCTGGGTGTGTAGAGGCATTATCCCATCATTGAAACCGGGATATTGCACTAGATTCACTGGGTTTTGCTAAATTCTGTTAAATTTATCTGGCATATCTACAGCATCTGCGCCCACAAAAGAACGATATTCATTGGAAAAGAGAATTGAAAGGGAGTTTGCCTTTTCACACCTCACATCAGCTTGTCGGTCGTCGAGCTGCTTTTGGGCAAATAGGCGATGCCATTTGCCACGTGGAAACCCATTTGTTCGGATTCCTGTGTTTTTCGCAATTGTTCAATGGACCAAAGGAAACGCAACTTGAACAGCACCAAAAGCAACAGCAACAATCAAACATAACAACGGAACTAGTGAATCCGTTCAGGAAGATGCTTAAGACCAAGATATGTTATGAAGCGAGGGATGGAAAATACCAATGTTAAAACTAGATAATGAAGAATAGCCACGTCAACCAGGCACAAAAAAACAAGTGCTGTGCAAATGAAAGGCGACTGGCTGCGCGCCAAAGCCCTCCAAATCAAAGAAGCCTGGGAGACATCTGAGCCAACGATACCCAACGGCCTTACATTTACCTCCAATAAATGTCCCAACCCGTCCGAACGACATCCGTGCAAACAGCATCAAACAGGTTGGTGACATGCAGTTTCTTGCTGCTGAACCAGCATCGTGCTTGTAAATCCCGGAACGATGTGTTTCAAACGGCAAATCCTGACTTAGGCAAGCGGCATTTGCATTTGAACGTCTCAGGATCTACTCCCAGGACAAAGCGGGTCATGTAGATATTGCCAAACCTTGGTTTGTTTCCAAGGCAACACGGCAATCAAGTCCACCATTCATTGGTTGATCAACTGCTGGTTTGAATCCCTCAAATATCATGTAGTCAATTGGGGATTATCAATTGTTCAAAATTGTACGAGGTCAGGATTGAACATCTTTGATAATCCATGATAAGAAAAGGATAACCTGTCATGATTCTATAAATCTATGGGGTTAACATTTTTCAGACACTGGATTCATCATAGACTGACAAGTGGGACTACATATAATCCCATGATACTATGATAAAAAATAGAAAGGATTCTACGGGAATATCATGGGAATTTATATGAATTTATGAATCTTGTTCATCAATAATCATACAGAATATGTTCTTCCCTGATAATCTATCTTTCATCTAGGATTACGTCCACCTCTGAAAAAGACATTCTTCTCGTCTCTTCCAAGGAGCAGGACAGACCCTTGATCCGCGAAATCCTGCATGGTGCTTGTGGCCACAACATGGTTCTGGCTAGCTCTGTGACCGAGAAACGATATGCTTGGCGATTTTCGGGCCATCCCCTTATCAAAAAAAAATGGGGTAAAATGTCCAAATAAACATAAACATATGTAAACATGCATAAACCATCCTGAAACATCAACTGGCACCATCTTTGAAAGCGGAATGACGCCATCACCGGAAGCATCGGCATCTCCTCGACGTACTCCAACTCGTTCATTCCTGGTACTTCATGGCCCATGCAGGTCACGGCCTTTTTCTTTTCCTCGGCTGGTGATCGAGCCACCGGTCCGAAACATCTCCGGACCCAGCTGCAGTGTGGGCCCGTGCCTCACCATTGCCATTTGCACGCCAAATTTGTTTGCTTTAAATGTCAATTTGAAAGGGATACTTACTCTATTCAATATTCCTGCATTTTGGTCTGAAAAGAAACCTATCAACATCATTGACCATTGACCATCCATGGCTCCAGTTTCAAAGTCTCAGCGTTCAGTTGCATCATGAACGGTGAGCCGTCGGTTGCCTTGGTCGCCAGCACCGAGGTGATATGGTTCTTTTCCTCAAAAGGGCCATGTTTTCCGTTGCAAAGTTCAGCTGAGGAACCAGGAACTTGTCCCGTTTGGTATCATGTGCGAAGCCCCATCCTGGCAGTTGGATGTTGGGGGCAGCATGGGGCAGCTGAACGATGTCCTTGAAGAGCTCGATAAATCATATCAAACACGGCAAAGGGTAGCTGCTAAGATTCCAGTCCTTGCCATGGATAGTCCTCCTCTGCAACAAGGTCCAGGTTGGGCCCATACCTTAAAGCCTGGCATGGACCAGCTACATCAATGTGTTGTATCAAAAAATGGAACCTGGGTTTGGTAGAAGTCTGGCATCCGGAATCAACATGTTCTTAAGAACCCAGAGCCACAAAAAAACGCACTTTGGTTGGCCAGGATATCAAGATCCTGGATTTGGTGACGGCCACAGCACCTTGTGATCCGACCAGGTGGTCACCAGCCAGCCTTCCTTCACTTTGGCGATGCCTTCCTTGATGCCGCGCTTGCGGCGCTGCGAACATGTTGCATTCCCTTCCCCTTAAGATGAAAAAACCTCCGGGAAACCGTGGTTCAGCCATTACTGGATCTCTTCAATGCGCCCCACATGAGGGGGTATTTGAGGGAGACGGGATCCCTATATATATAATATATATATAATAGTGATTTTGCATTGGCACGCTTTATTTGCCCATCGCTGGAGGCACCATCTCCGATAAGATCCAAATGGCTAGGTCAAGTCCACCAACTGGACAGGTACTACCCTTTTTCCATGAGGAAAACAATTTCGCTCAATTCCAGTTCTGTTGAAAGCAATGCCATCCAATAATGCCCTATTTTGGCTTCACTTTTTTGACATATCCACTACAAATGCTATAAATCCATTAGTATCCTTTGGTGTCCTTTAGATTAGCTATCCTTAGTTATAAAACCAAATTAACCCAAATTTATACATAACTGGGGGCGGGGCCTTCCTGCCTACCCTGCTTCCACATGGCTAACGTGTACCCTGGCAGCCCAGCTGCTGCGAAGCGCTTCTCCAGGCCAGAAGTGCCTTTCCTTAGTCCGCCATGGGGCCATCAACCGCAAATCCTGACACATTCCTAGGGCGCACTGAAGCAGTATGAGAATATATATATATGTGTGTGTGTTTTGTTTTTGTTTTTATTATTTATTTAGTTAGTTATTCATTCATTTGTTTATATATATATATATATGCATTTTTTTTAAAAAAATATTTATTTATTTATGTGTGTGTGTAAATATATATATATATATATGGGTTCGGGGGGCACTACAAGCCACAGCGGGGGAAGGGGGAAGATCTCATAGAGGGGCAGTATATGGAAGCATGCAAAGACGAAGGCATAGGTATGAATATACAAGGGCACTACCAGCCACA